CATGTCTTTCCAGACGCAGCCCAACACTGGGAAACACCCATACACTTTCATTCACACACACTTCGGCCAATTTAGTTGATCAGTTCCCCTACAGCGCATGTGTTTGGACTGTGGGGGAAACCGGAGCACCGGAAACCCCAGCCCACACAGGGAGAACATGCAAACTCCACACAGAAACGCCAACTGACCCAGCCGAGGCTCAAACCAGCAACCTTCTTGCTGTGAGGCGATTTTGCTACCCACTGCGCCACCATAACCCAAGATACAAGTGAACAAATTGATTTTTCAATTAATCTTAATTATAATGTCGAAATTACAAATGACAAATCAAAATTACAATAATAAAGTAATTAAACATTATAGGATTAAAACGTTATAAATGACAGATTGAGTCAAAATTCTGAGATATGACAAAGTTAATATGTACTAATTATTGTACTTGATAATAGCATGTTTCAAAACGGAGACAATATCGTGGAGCAGAAATATGATTATGACACTGAAGGTTATGAAACTGAGGAAGTCACCACACTGATGATTATCGTGAGAGCAAACTGACATGAATATGACAAATCATTCAGTTATTCATTCAATTTCCTTCGGCTTAGACCCTTTATATATCAGGGGTCACCACAGCAGAATGAACCGCCAACTATGGGAAACACTCATACACACTCATTCTCACTCACACACACTTACACATTACGGCTAATTTAGTTGATCAGTTCCCCAATAGCACATGCGTTTAAACTGTGGGGGAAACCGGAGCACCGTGAGGAAACCCACGCCAACACTGGGGAGAACATGCAAACTCCACACAGAAACGCCAACTGACCCAGCCAGGATTCGAACCAGAGACCTTCTTACTGTGAGTTATGAGTCAGTAAGTCACAACTTTTATTCCCAAGTGATGCATTTGTATCTGACAGATTCCAGACGCTTGTGTAAATGCTAACTCTGTCATCAAGTCTTTTAATTTGTATTATTTTTATTAGGACGTCTTTTGCTTGTGTGGCATCAGTCTTACCTTCATGATGGTGTTGTATGCAGAGATGTAGGATGTGAAGAGGTCCAGATATCTGGTGGTGAAGACCAGCGCAAACAACACCTGAGACTTCCCGGAAATCCCTGAAAAACAGAAAACATCAGAACGCACAATAAAACAGAAAAATATCAGAGGAATATATATAATGGCACATTAAAACACACACAAACTTGGATTAAAGTTGGTTTTGTATGCACAAATTCAGACTTTCTCCTTAATAATAGTCTTCGCTGTCATATTTGACTTTGGATTGTGCTCGTTTTTCTTGTTTATGTTTTAATTGGATTCACTGATCTGTTTATTTTGGACTATATATATATATCAGGGTTCAACGCTAGGGATTTTTTCTACTGGTCTGATCGGGCCAGTGGTTCAGATTTTTACTTGCCCTGCCAAAATTTTCACTGGCCCCACCAAAAAAAGAAAGGGAAGTTAATAGCTATTTTTAAGATACATATTTTAAATAATGTGTTAAAAATAAAGTCTATGAATCTAGAATTTTAATACTTAAAAGAAATTGTAAATAAAAGTGTTTCGTAACAGAAAAGTATGGAAAATGTGGAGGTATTTTATTGCGGTTTGAAATTATTTAACAAAGGGTGGCTGACTTGTCAAACTGACGGCAAACTGTGCAACTAAGTTTTTTTTTTTTTTTTTTTGCGTTGTTCACAAGTAAATTTCTGCTTTCAAGACGTTAGAAACGTTTTCTTTTAGCCTTAGAATTGGATGTTGCCACCATGTTGCCATTTCTTCGCTGTACTGGTTGTTACCAGGTTACGGAAAAATATAGAATTCTCAATCAGCTAAGAAGAACCGGAAGCAATATGGTGTTTACGACATCACAGAGAAGGTAGTGTTTAAAGACTTAAAAGCACAAACTTAAAATGCACGCAATTGATAAATAGTCACAGACAAATTAAATGTTCGTGACAAGGCAGCACTGTCCCAATCGGGCCAGTAATGATCCGGTCTACTGTCCCAAGTGTCTGTCACGCTGGCCCTGGTCCACTGGGCAGTCCTTATTGTTGAGCCTTGTGTATGTATATATATATATATATATATATATATATATATATATATATATATATATATATATATATATATATATATATATATATATATATAGTTCTCTGATTAACATGTGATGCTTCCTTATGTTAATGTGTGTGTTTTGTTGCTGTTTATGTAACCCTGCTAGTCCTACACCATCCAACCTGCTCCGAGGTGGGATCGAACCGGTGACCTTACGCATGGGAGTCGGTTGCTCCAACAAGAAGGCTAAAGACCATGGCCTCTAGTGTCTGTCGCTAGAGCACCTTTACAGCCCATTCACACGGGGCTTCAGCATCAATGCTTGACAGAGGGCGTGTCTGAAGTTGGGGCTGACGCGATCGTCATAGCAGCGTCAGCCAATGAAATTAGTCAGCAATAGGCCACTGTCTGAGCTGGTGTATTTGCATACAGAGATCTGATAGGCTGAGAAAGTCCCAACTTTTGCAGCGAGCAATGCCACTGAAGTGGTGCCGACGGATCCACAATGCAGTTCCGCAACGCCTGACATTACACATTCAAAGTGAATGGGAAATGCTGAAGCTGACGCCCCGTGTGATTGGGGCGTTCGAGGTCTGAGGAGAGAGGTTTACCTGCACAGCACACACTAGCTGGCCTCCGCTACATTTATATAATGCAATGCAAGTTTGTTTCATTATTATTATTATTGCAATACATTGTGGGACCCCCATTGAAGATGAAATGGTACATCCCAAAGGGGTTTATCCTAATAAATACATTCAATAAAGTTAAGAAAGCGAAACATATTAGCAGCCAATTATTATCAAAGTACAACGCTGTCCACAGTCAATTAATTAGTGTTAATGTTAATTTGAAGTCATTCTCACATGCCGTTTCAGACTCAATGCTCAAATTAGTATGATAAACCATGTAGGAATTGTGTCACAAGTTGTCGGTGTTCAAAAATGAACAATTGTGCGAATATAAAACCAACTTTACCTCAATACACAACTAACCAAGTCTTTTCAGAGTATCTGATGCATCTCACAATAATTTGGGGTACATTTAAAGCATTTTCCTTTAACTGCAATGATAAACAATCAAATGTAGATTTATATATTTATATATTTGTAACGAAATAAATATATACCATGTTAATAGTTCAGTATTAAATCCTGCTTTAATGGGAGTGCAGTTCCTGCTAGTTCGCCGGTGGCGCTATTGCGCACAGAGTCTGTGTATAGACTGCAGCAGAGATAGGGAGAACTGCTGTGGGTGAGTCGGGTTTGTGTTAGCTCCACACTAAAATATAAAAATATCATTTAAATGATTGATTGGATGCAGCTTTAAAAGTCTATCACACTTTATATACATTTATTGATCGACAGAGTGGGTTTTCTTGTCATATTTGTTTGATTTTGGTACTTTTAATCTCATCTTGATATTTTCCCCCATGTGCTTATACAGCAAGTGCTAATGGAGTTATATGTGTTTTAGATGTGGATGCTAAATTAAACCGTGTTGATCTCACTGTTACTGCTCTGTGTGCAGGTAATTTTCTATTATATTTTGTGTTAAGGTATTAAATGTGTTTATTCAGTGATATTAGTTACGCATTTTCTGTATTTTTATATTTCTGTCTTTGTTTTATATAATAATAATATAAGCTTTCAGTATAGACTGCAGCAGAGATAGGGAGAACTGCTGTGGATGTGGATGCTAAATTAAACCGTGTTGATCTCACTGTTACTGCTCTGTGTGCAGGGCAAAATAAAATCCTCCTCATCCAAGTCCAGTGTGTGTGTATTGCTGAAGGGTGAATGAAGTGGGTTCGGGAGTGAAGTATAAAGGTCACATTGGTGCCGTGACTCAGGACTTCAATCAAGGTGGTCGAAGATCATCCAAACATCGAACCGGTGGGCCAGTCTTCATCCTTCACTGCACAAGCCCAGCAGCTAAGCTTTTATTAGTTAATCCAGGACTTTATATCAAGGACTTTAAACAACAAACGGAAAAAAAAAGCACTGATAGATGGACTATCTGACAAGTTTACACCAAAAAGTGGTTTGGTATTATTGAAACTTTATAGCACATCAATTTTATGATTTTTTTACTTTCTTTTTCACACTGAATGCACTAATTAATTGCTTATGGAGCACGCAAAGTTGACTAAATCCCATTATGTGGGCACTCCTGTTGGTATTGGTCGAGGAAGAGGTTTATTAGCAACACCAATTCCCTTCCCGGACATTAGCCCTAGCCCTACTATGTGTGGTGTAAACAATAATGTTGGGTTAAAAGCGGATGTAATTCATTGTCAGGATTCTAATGTGGACCCTGTTTATGTGAATTATACTAGTTCTGACAGTGCCCAGCCAATTAACACCTCAACCCCAGTCTCTGCCAATGACATGATGAGTCAGATGGGTAACATAGTACAGCTAGTAGGTCAACAGTTAGCGGATAGCATACTTACACACTTGAATTTGCACAGTCAAACAGAAGGGGCATCAAGGCATACTCAAACTGATCATGGTAGTAAATATACACCTGAGCAAAAGTCCATGTTAAATGCTTCACAGATCCAAGTAGTACGGCAAAGGGAAATTAGAGACCCTCCGATTTTCAGAGGCGACAAAACAGACACTGTTACAATCGAGGAGTGGGTGGAGCTCATGAAAAACTTTATAAGGAAGGGAGTTTTGCCTATTGATGAACAGGGGGAGGAAATTTTGATACATTTGAGGGGCAAAGCCAAAGATGTTGTTAAAGTGGGAATGCTGTCAAGCAGTTTGGATATCAAATCAAATCCTGATGCAGTTTACACTCTATTACGAAAGCATTTCAGTTGCCAACAGTATTCTCCTATTCCATTACAAGATTTCTACACTACACTCCCAGAACCTCAGGAGGATCCCTTTGATTACTGGCTGCGTTTAAACCGTGCTGCAGATATCACAGCTGAGTGTCTAAAACAACAAGGAAAGGTGCTAGACAATCAATTAATCGAAGTCACACGCATGTTTATTCGGAATTGTCCAAATTCAGAGCTTGCACTGACATTTCGCTCAAAAACCATCGACAAATGGACAGCTCATGAAGTGCATGAGATTCTGAATGAGTATCATTTGGAAAAAAACCTCAGAGCTTCTGGAAAAGCACATGGGCTTTTTCAATGTGAGAAGAAATTTTCTGTGAATGAGATGCATGTTACTCCTAGCTCTTGCACAGTAAAAGTTGAACAGGATTCACTTCAGTCTAAACCATCTGAAAACATGGCTCTAGAAAAGGTGATTGATATGCTGGAAAGAGTACTGATGAATAATAGTAGCAATGCACAGGCTACTAAGCAGAATTGGAAAAGAAGCAACATGCCCAGAATTCCGGGTTTGAATGATTCACCATGCCTAGTGTGCAAAGACCCCTCACATTCTGCTTTTACTCACTGTAGAGATAACAGGCTGTGCTTTCTGTGCTTCTCATCTGGCCATGCCAGAAACAAGTGTCCAAAGGAAAGGAGAAATTCTACCTCAGTTAATCAGCAGGCAAACTAAATGATCTACGTGTGAGGGAGGATCACGTAGATCTTAAGAGTGAATCTCCCATAACTGATTTTGATGATGTAATGGATTATGAGTCTTTATGCCAAATGATCAGTGAAACATCTCCACATAAAACTGTTATATTTCAGGGGGTGCAGAAAGTTCCAAGAGCTGATAGTTTGTTCCACACGTCTGTTTCAGTTGAAAAAGATCTTATCCTTAAATCTTTAATCGATAGCGGATCAATGGCGTGTACTATTAGCGAGTCCACTGAAAAAAAGCTACTGGAAAGCAACCCAACAATTACCAGTCAGTCAGCACAAGACATTGTTATAGTTGGTTGTGGTGGTCACCATATTACCCCTACCGCAGTTTATGATCTCAAAGCTACAGTGTACGGCTGCCCCATGTTAATTCCTGCTATGGTTGTGCCTGGACAAACTGAAGAGATGATTTTGGGCACAAATGTCATAAAGGAACTTCTGATGCATTTGAGAGAAACTAATGGCTACTGGAGGCTCATGTCTAAG